TTTATGGTGTGACAGGACATTCTACAAAATTGTGGGGACCAGTGTGGGTGATTATTGAGCTCATGGGCATAAAGGACAGACAGAAAGTATACTTGTTATTGGTTTATTGTATGTGGTTATTGTTCGGGACGAACAATATTAAGGAGGGGGCAGTGTTGCGTCATCGAGGTCACGTGACTGGTGTGGCGCCCTCTAGTTTCTAGAACTATCTTGTTCTTTCAGGAATGCTCTAGTATTTGCTAGATAGGGTAGGCTGGTATATAAAAGAGGGGAATGTAATGTGTGTAGACAGTGTGTAATTGATCTGCAGTCAGAAGTATTATTGACGTTTGTTGATATAGCGTTTGTTTTAGCGCGAGTATTGAGATTAAGTGTATCGCAGAGTTATATTCGGAAAGAATAAACCAGTTTTATTAAGAAAGAACTTGTGTCGCTTAAGTTTCGTCGGAACGAAGTTACGGAAAGTTAATTAACAAACGGAGACGTAACAATAGCATAGCAGTAGTTGTTCATGAAAGCTGATGAAATAGAGCATAGAGCCTAAGTTAAACCACTGCTATAACTTTTGGTTTGGTTGTTGTTAAGTGCAAAGCTAAACAATGAGCTATATGTTTTCTGCCCATCACGGGTATCTAAACCAGATTTTTAGTGTCTTAAGCCTGCAGAATTACCGCAGAGGTTCTGGGTCACATCATTATGACTGTCGTATCCGAGCTGGCCTGATAAGCTTTGGCAAAAGGCCTGGCCCGGTGGTTGGGGCGCTCGACTTGCAATCTGTGGATTGCGGGTTTGAATCCCCGACACACCAAACATGCTCGCCCTTTCAACCGTGGGGGCGTTATAAGTGACAGTCAATCCCATTATTCGTTGGTAAAAGAGTAGCACAAGAGTTGTTGGTGGGTGGTGATGACTAGCTGCCTTCCCTCTATTCTTACACTGCTAAATTAGGGACGTCTAGCGCAGATATCCCTCGTGTAGCTTTGCGCGAAATTCATAACAAACAAGCAAAAGGCCTCATCAGCTTTGGATATGGTAGATGTAGTGTGATTTACATGGCGTAACACATTCTACTTTGCCTTCATTTAGAAGTTCTTCGAACTATCCAATTTTCAGTCTTCTGGCTCCTGTTAAGTACTCGAGGACTTACAAAAAATATTAGCAAGTGACTCACATATTTTAGACTATATTTTAGTTTTCCCTTTGCCGACAGAGGACAGTTTACTCACAAGAATGGCGGGTTAGTTTCAGTAATATTTACTACTAGTGATAATGACTATCGTAAACATTTTGAAAGTAACTCTATGACTGAAAATGAAAAATCACAAATACTGTTCTTTTTAGATATACCTTTGTAGTGCAAAGCGAGTCATATAATATACCTAAATATTTCAGTCACATTATGTACACCACATGATGATAATGTGACTTTAATTTTAAAATTTAAATTAAAGATAAACTAAAAGTTAGTTGCTCATACTGTGTTTGAGCATAAAACTAAGTTAAAATAAAAACAGTTAAACAGTGGAAAGCATGTTACTGTTAGTCACTTAGTGTTATTGTAGTAGTACTATTTACTTACTACTGTAGCCTTATAAATAGTATAGGACTAAGAGCTTCTGGTTCTACAGTAATACTAAAGAAAAGGCCACCAATTCCGTGATTTATTAACAACGTAGCTGTCATTGAGTACCAATTACGTCATTGACAAACATTCTCACGTTGAGTCACGATGTAATTGTTTATAATTTCAGCCGAAACTTGGAATAGTTATACTATTACTACTAAATGTAAAAAGATCATACCTTTATGTCAAAGTATACATTACAAATTACTATCGAATTAAAATGAGAAGTAATGTGATTAATAATAAATTGTATACAGTATGGTGAAACTCAGTAAAGTGTAATTGATGCTGCTAAATGTGTTGTTATCTAACTTCTAAGTACAAAGGCTGATACTGAAGTATCACTCATCAAACAGATTCCAAAATTTATAAATAACACTAACATAGCACTAATCATATCAAACTCAAAGTTAAAAAACTTTGAGATGTTTAAAATATAAAAGGTTTATGTTATAAAAAGTAGTATAAAACATACTTTAGCTTAGGAATACAAATAAAGAAAAAATTACATTTAAAAAATACGCATTTTCATGCAGTCATTAGAACTTAAGTTGTTACGCATCAACTCTTTAAGCCTGTAATTTTTTGCACATTCTATGGGAATTATTGATTATTTCCTAATAATTATCATCATACCTTATAAAACTTCAGTTTTCTTAATTTTGTGGATAATAACATGGTTTGATTAGTTTCCAGCCAGAGAGATATAAATGTTTTTGGATGTTGTCACCACCCGATGGGTAAATCAGGATTTTCGGCTGAACACTGGTAGCGTATGCTCGGGTTTAAGCAGTTAATGACATCTTGAATCTTTGCAATTTCATTTCAAAATAAAAGATTTAATTTTTTTTTTGCAGCACCTGAAAAGTGCCTAATCCTTCTATAAGCTTAAGAGTACTGAAAGGAAGTCTAACAAATAAATGAAAATTAAGGCCTAAACTAGTTTTGTCATATTTCAGTTTTAATCCTTTTTAGCCTAGCTCTCTGTATTTAAAAATACATTATATTCAAAGAATAGGAAACAAATAAGTATGGTTAGAAGAGACAGGTTTTATGTTAACTATTATTAATAATTTTGTATTGAACTAGTACTGTTATGCAGAATTGGCTTCAATAATAAGTTGCTTCATAATTCTGAATCATATTGTTGATGTACTGTTGATGACAAGTTGTAAATAATTTATGATGGCATTTCATACTGTGCCAGGCTGTTGTGCTTAAGCTATTCCTTGTTTTTATTGAATATTTTATAAGCTCGTGACTATTTATCACATCTTATATTCTGATTTACATTCACATTGACTTTCAGAACACTTTTAATTATATATGATCTAACACATGGACAACGATTAAACCTGATTTTTATTTTTCAGGAAATTGTTATACTCCTTTTAAATTGGTCTTCATTACTGCTGATGGCAACTCATTCCTTAAGCCAAATACCCTTTTAGAAAAATACAACCATTCTGACTATACTATCTTTTCCAAATATTGAACTTATGTCTTTTGGTCCTATAGCAAAAGAAATCAGTGGCCTTTAACTTATCAAAACCCCAGATGTAAACTTCGATGAGATCACCTGTGAGCCTTTTCTCGAGAGAAAATATGATTCTTCTTTCATACCTAAAATTATCTAGTCTTTGGAAACTTTCTACTTTATGACACATACTTCTTTTGTGGAAAAATATCTAGAAAGTCTGATAAAAGGAACTATGCAAATTAATTTATTGAAATTGGTATAAAAGAGCCAACGTGGATTTATTAAAGAGCAATCTTACTTTACTAATCCATTAACATTTATTTATAGGAAAGGGTATGTAGTTCAAATAAAAAAAAAAGAAAAAAAATTTAAAAGGTGCTACATAGGAGATTAATTATGAATATTACACTGGTGGGGGTTGGGGAAAGTATGAAGTTATTGATAGTTAGTTTAGTCTGATTTGACTTTTGGTTTATGTTTAATGTTTTAAGACTTTACATCGTATGTAAATTTATTTGTTTGGAAACAAAACTATTTTGTAAGGTTTACACTGTGTACAAATGAAATTAAATAACAATTGTAATTTGTTTGAACCAGATATTTGTCAAAAGAAAAGATGATGGATCTTCTTCCTCCTGAATTAGTTCCAGATGTTCCAGTGTTCACCAGTCTACCACCAGCAGTAGATGGACATGTACGATGTTATTTGCAGCTTCATATTCCATATATTTCTTGGGTACAAAAAGCCAAAAATGCAATTACAGTTAATGATTCTGTAAGCGTGAAGGTACGATGGTGGGGAGAGGATGCTGTTAGTTGGGCAGATTTTATACCCCGTGACTTGAGTGACATTTCTTCTCCATCAAAGGCCAAAACTACAGCAAAATACAAAGTTTGTTCAGGTCCAAAACAATTTTTGGCATATTTAACAGGTATTTGTGTTTCTCTTTTATTTTATTTTTTTTCTTGTAAGTGGCATTGTAGTGGAAAATAAGTATTTTTCATAATAAGTTTATGCAAATGGAAAATTAGAAAAAATATAATACAGTTTATGTCACTCCTTTTGTTGTAAACAACTGTCTAATGCATCTATGTGTATCAGATCTCAATAGTGATATTTTTATGATAGGTTTGTCACTATATTTATCCCAATACCTCTTCTGTTGCTGAAATAAAGGTACTATTGAATTTTAATAAAGTCAATTTGATTCAAAGTTTTAGAAACATACAGAATACAAATGTAATTTACAAGCAAGTTTTATGTAATAACATGGACACTTCTTTTCAGATATGAAAGAGTTGGTGGCTGAAGTGCAAACAGAAAGTACATTTCTGGGTTCGGCAGTTGTAGGTAAACTGTCTAACCTAACAGATACATCAGTCATAGCAGGGTAAGGAAGTTTTATAAATGAAAGTGTTAATTTAAAGAGGAATGATTTTCATTGTGATTTATTTAATCAAATATTTGTTGGTAATAATAGGTATCAGGATGGGAGAGACTGTATTTAATCCATAAATACTTGCATGAATCCATATGGATAACAATCTAATAATAATGACTTCCTATCTATTAAGTACACAAGTACCTAAGGATTAAGTTGCATTGATTTTTGTTGTTTTTTTATGAGTAAGGTGACCCCAAATGTAGGCCTCCTTTGGCCAGGTTTGACCATGGATGAGCATCCGTCCATTGTTAGCTCATGTTGATCGCTCGTTTAGAGCAGCGTCTCTTGTGACTAAGGAGACTGACACGAGAGTGACAGTCCCGGTTGCAGAGGTCACACATGTGCGTTGACGCTGGTCTGTTGGCTGCCTGTACCTTTTGATGCGCTTGCTTCTCTTCTGCCACCACCGTCAATTCCTCTTCACCGATCTTCAGCTGTTTACGGAGAGTGTTTCTCCAGTCGGCGCGATCGGCAGTGAGGTCCTCCCAAGTTTCGGTGTTGATGTTGAGCACCTTCATGTCTCTTTTGCAAATATCCTTGTATCTCAGCTGCGGGCGGCCGATGCTTCTTTGTCCTTCGGCAAGCTCTCCGTAGAGGATGTCTTTTGGGATTTGGCCATCCTTCATACGGTGCACGTGGCCTATCCAGCGCAACCGGCACTGTCGTAACAGAGTGTACATGGTAGATTGTTTCGTACGAGACAAGACATCGATGTTAGTTACCTTGTCTTGCCAGGAGATACCAAGTATGCGTCGCAGGCTTCTGAGGTGGAAGGTATTCAGTCTTTTCTCTTTGTGACCCTATAGCCTTTTGTCATATCCTTATGTTTCATGTAATTATGCTTTATAGGAGAACTATCATCTCGTATGTAAATGACCTAAATAAAATTGAATAAAAATGATAATTTATCAGTATAATCTAGTTCACACTATAACAGTTGTTGTTCATTCAGTTTGATGGTATAAGTAGTCTTAATTGCTGTTTTTCAGTCATTTATACCAGTTGGCATGATGAGCCCTGGTATTTGGCAAAAAGTTTTTGTCGTCACTGGATATAACAGACATAGTGTGGTTGAACGATTGTTATACATTCATTTTTCATTCGTTATTAGAATTAATACTGCAGAATAAGCTAGGCCTAATATGGCTTTTTTTGGATATGATTTCTCAAGTGTGTTCTGTTTTATTCATTTCCCCGATTTATTATAATCCCCTTTCTTCCTTGTTACATGATACCCCTTTCTCTCAGTATTTTGTATTTTCCCCCTTCCCTGAATATGAGGGTTCATGCAGAGCATTTTGTATCTGATATGTGTGAGGGCACTAGCATGCCTCGCCCTCCACGGGCTTCAGACCAGTTTTCTTGAGCATACCAACAGGCTAAATTTTATTTTTGATTCACAACACTTGGAATCGTTTTTGCCCATGTGTGGGGGCAGACCTTGATTATCCGTTTTGTTTAACCCACACTCAGTTTTTCCACCTTTGTCTTACCCTATTGATTTTTCTGTGGTACTTGTCCACTAACCACCTCCTTTCTGAGGCCCTACCAAGATCCTGAGGGTTTTTTGGGGGACACCTTCTCTCTGATTACCTCTATGTTGGCACATTTGTCTTCTTCGGCTCTTTCTTTACACACTTGGTTTCTATTTTGTTCATATCTTCTGGAGAGAGGCGCTGTATTGTCCCAAGTTCATTTATCACCTACTTTTCCCCAAGGCTTACCATTGTATTGTCTTTTTCTCCAGAGGTCTGTTTTCAGAAATATTCCTGAGACTTTGGAATCCCATGTTGAATCGGTGAGACAGCAATCGACCCTTTCATCTTTGGTTGGTCGTTTTTCTTATATTGAGCCTAGACAATCCCCTATCACTATTTACCATCTCGCTCCATCCCAGCCCTTACCAGTTCCTACCTCTAGGAGTTCCTCCTCTCATGATATTATTTCATGCAGATGGACACAGCACCCACAGTACCGGTGACTACTCAGTGGGTTCCAGTCCTGTGGGGTTTGCTTGAGTGATTTTGCTCCCCTATAACAATATTTTGACACTGATATTTGGGTATTTCCTGAGGAACTTGTCATCCACTTCCTTTCCCCTCCTCCGTTATCTCCAGTACCCATATCCTTTCCATTGCCTTGGGATTCTACCACCAGGCAATGTCTGTCCGAGGTGGTACAAAATCTTTTCTCCCAGAAAGTCATCAAACCTGTAACTCATCCTTCTCCAGGTTTTTATTCCAGGCTGTTTGTAGTACCCAAGAAAACCAGGGACTGGAGGCCTGTGCTTGATGTGTCCAGCCTCAATCAATTTTTGGTTTGGCCCCACTTTACCATGTAGTCTTTTCTCACCTTCAGGTGGTCTTTTTATCCAGGTCTATGGATGACCAAGGTGGACGTCACGATTGATTATTTGCATATTCCGATATATCACCTGTTAAGATGCTATCTTTGGCTTGTTTGTCAGATTGTAGTGTATAAATTTTGTCCCCGCCCTTCTGGCTTGCTTCAGCCCTGTATGTCTTTTATTGAGTGGTCAAGGCTTTTGCCTAACATACGCATGCTCGGTGGTTGCACTTATACCATTACATGGATGACTGGCTTCTGTTAGCTCATTCCAAATAGCAGTCTGCCCACAACACTCGTCTGCTGCTTTTGGAGGCAGCTCGTATGGTTGGTTGGTCGGTCAAGTTGGAGAAATCATTCCTTATACCTACCCAATATCTTGTCCACTTGGGTGTTTTTTCAATATTTATCTCAGTTGAGCTCAATTTTATTTTCTCTGACTCCATTCAATGGAGCTTTCCATTCGCCATGCTCTTACTGCTCGCGAGGTTCTATTGCTTTTGGGAATGTGCCCAACTATGGAAACCTTTATCCATTTGGGTTGAGTGCATATGAGGTCTCTTCAGTAGGCTCTGTTGACCAGTGGAACCTTGTATGGGATCCCTTGGAGACTTTTATTTTCCTTCCTCCTTCTCTTGTTAATGATCTGTATTGGTGGTTGAACAGGGCATAGACATCAACGGGTGTTCCTACTTTGCCCTCATCCATATTTGCATATCTTCACAGGTGTTTTCCTCCATGGCTGGGGGGCATGTGTCAATCAGCAGGAAGCTTCAGGTCAGTGGTCTTGGGCCGAGCAGTCTTACCATATCAACATTCTGGAACTTCCAGCTGTACATCATGCTTTGAATCATTTTCTTCATCTTGCCAGGAATTGTCTGGTCATGATTCATTCCGACAATTCTATGGTGATAGCTTATATAAATCACCAAGGTGGCACCCATTCTCCTTCCCTTTGTGGTCAACCCTTGGATTGCTTTTTTTTGGGTCCACAAACTTGGTATTCATTTCCTTTCATGTCATGTTCAGGGTGCATTCATCCTTGTTGCGGATAGTCTTTCCCGTCCAGACAAAGTTCATTTGACGTACTGGTCTCTTGATCCTCTCCTTTTCTAGTGGCTATGCCTTTGGTGGGATACTTCTCACCTGGATGCATTTGCCATATCTCTGAAAGTTCCTTCTGATTTGGTTCCTCATCCACTTGCACTGGCTGTCAATGCGTTCAGCCAGGATTGGACCAACAAATACCTTTATGTGTATCCTCCCATTCATGTCAAGTCCCTTTGATTGCTCCATACTGGTCACTGGCATTTCACCCAACCTTTTATACCCTCTGTCTTCATGCCTATTTTTGTATCCAGTCCTTTGCGAGGAGATTCGGATTGTACCAGTGAGTCGTTTTTAGCTCGTTCCATTTGCTCTTCTTCTGTGGATGTTTATCAATGTAAGTGGAATGTTTTCTGCCATTGGCCTTTGTGTAGGGGATTCTGACCTCTTTGACCCACTGTTCCTCATCTTATGGATTTCCTCACTTAGTTGTTTTATCCAGGGTCTTTGATCTCCTTGATCATGAATTTTTGGGTTGCCTTATCCCACACTTTTTGTTTTTCCATACGCCTTAAAGTTTTTACCTCTCATTATTGTTGCATTTCTTCCAGGTTCATTGTTCTCCCTGGTGCACAGTCCTTCCGGATTGGGATGTCAATGTGTTTTTTCACTGCCTTACTTGACCTCCATTTGAATCTCTGTACTCACGTTCAATTTTTCACTTATCTCTTAAGACTTATTTCATTATCCTCTTGGCCTGTGGATGTCATCAGTCAAAGTTATTTGCCATCAACATTTCACATGCCCTATATCATTCCACATATGTTTTTCTTTATTCAGATCGATCTTTCCTTTCCAAAACTTTGGCAGCTTGTAAGGATAATTCCTCCTTCTCGTTGATTTCCCTTCTTTCCATTTCCAAGCTATATTCCCGGTCTACTCCGGATAGACTACTATGTCCCATACATGTTCTTCATTGTTATAACTTTAAATTTTTAGACTTTAGGTGTTTTATATTATTTTCAAAGAAAGTGAACACTAGCTTGAAAGTCTCATGTCTTTATTTTGCCCCCACCCCCAATTGAAAATATTTGGGGGGTATAGAGATTGTTATTTATCCATCTACCTGTAAATGTCTACATTCTACGTGCTTATTAGAGTTTTAAATAGCAGATTTAAAAAAATTTTTGCAGGTCATTTCCCTTGGGGATGAGAAAGAACCCTATTTATTTTGTGGTTGAGAGGTCAAAGGTTAAGATAATCATTAAAAAAAAGCATTTGGTTTCTGAGTGAAAGAAAATTTAACCGTGCACACACATCATATTTATCAACACTCTAAAACTAAAAGAAATGAAAAGTTAGTGGTCGAGGAAGGAATCAGCCATTCTAGTGTTGACTATTTTCATTTTTGTATTTTTAGATTTATGATATATACTTGTATTTAGAGGAAACAACTTTAAGTGTTTTTTTGTGTGGTTTTTGTCAGGGTGTACCCAGTTGTGACTGCTGAAGGGAAGAAGATTGCTGATCTTTACATTAGCATTAGCCTTCATAGTGAAAGATCAGGTTCGCTTCATTATATTTTAAACATGTTAATTAATAAATGTATGAAATTTAACGTACAGAGGACTAACTTAATAGAATAAATATTAAAAATACATAAATGCACTTCATTTATAAGTATATGTAATAAAATGATTGCTGAACAGCTGTTTTAAACTTTTTGAAGAAGAATGTGTTTAAACAAGATTGAATTAGTATATTTTTTAAGTTGACATCATACTCCAAAACTGTTTATTTTACACTGTTTAGTTTTTGAAATATGAAGTGTGGGTAGAAACATGAAATATGAAAATATATTTGCTTCTAAGAAATGAATAAAAATTATTTAAGTATATTATTAAGGAACTGTTTGCTCAAGAACCATTGCTTAATTTTTGTAATATTTATTTATCTGCATATTCTTAAATTCATTTTCATAGTTACCTACATATGTTTCTTACAAATAGAAGTAAACTATATGATTTTTAGTTTTCAAAGGAGTGACTATTTTTATTATTTTTCCTTAGACAATAATTTTTTTTTTTGCCTGGCATGGCCAGGTG